TATGTGAGTTGAATTGGTTAGGAATTGATGAATTTGTGCTTGATAGTTTGATATAATCGAAGGGTGACACTTCGATCTTGCAATTGGTAATGATTGAATATTGATTTGTCGAGTTAGGATTTGTTGATTCCATATGATTAGTTGATTAAACACCTTCTAATTGAATTAGCGACTCTTAGAACCGAAAGGAGAGAAGTCATAGACCTAGGCTCGCATGAGATAGATGATTTCGTAGCTGAATAATCTATGGGTTGAGATTGAAATACGTGCTTGTCGATGACCCGTCCCTTGTTACGAAAAGTTATTGGGATTGGGATAATTGGTCTGTGTTGTATGCTCGAGCTTGTTCGTCTATGTTCAATCCCTTGTTACGAAAAGTTATTGGGAGCGAACCGCTAGATGTTTAAGCGAGAGTGTCAATCTCGAACCGAACAATTGACTGCCCGGCTTTGCTAGAACTTGAATTAATTATCCCCGACTCCCTAGCTTCTTCATCTTTGTTAGTTTATATTTTTGGTAGATTATTGCTTTTATTATTTCTTAGTTGATAATTATTCAAACCCTCATCCTGATTAGAGTGTTAGGATTTTATTTTCTTTTAATGTGTGATCGTTACCAACGCTAAATTCCGAATCACCTTCCTCGAGAGATCGACCCGAGGTCTGGAGTCATCCTGTACTCGGTAAAAAAAAGTAATTTGTACACAACAAATTGGCGCCGTTGTCGGGGAAGGTTTAGGACATATTTTGTGCGCTTATTCATCTTATTTTTTGTATTTCTTTTTTGGTTTTGTTTTTTTCTTGTTTTCTGTGTTTCTTTTTCTTATTTTCTTTTCTTCTCTTTACCATTGGTGCTCGTAACCCGTTGTTTGTTTGAGTGTCTGCGTACCAGGAGTGGACGTAAACTCTCTCCAATCAACAAACCCTTCAACTAGAGCCTGAGAGAACTGCTAGACGAGCTTACTCTCGAATCAAACGAAGAAGGCAAGCACCAAACAGAATCTTCCGAGGGGAGTAACTCAGACATGGCTGATCAACAACCGCCTCGTAACATCCTCCGAGATTTGTCCCAACCCATGATCGGGCCGATCACTTCCTGTATCCGGCTGGAGCAAGACGCCCAAAACTATGAGCTGAAGATGGTCCACTACAATCAGCTCCCATCATTCCACGGGCTCCCCAACGAAGACCCGCTCCACTTTCTTCGGGAGTTCTACAACGTCCTCCAAATGTTCCCACTACACGGGCTAAGCGAGGACCAACTGATAATGCGGTGTTTCCCAGAGACTCTGAAGGACCGAGCAAAAGCTTGGTTCATGACCCTCGCCCCGGATTCTCTAACAACTTGGGCCGAAGTCTACTCCAAATTTGTCGGGAAGTATTATTTCCATCAAAAGACCCAAGACATTCGGTCCCAGATAGTCTCCTTTGCTCAACTGCCAAACGAGCCTCTTCACGAGGCTTGGGAACGTTTCAAGGACCTCCAGAGGCAGTGCCCCCACCACAACCTCGCTCCAGGACTATTAGCAAATTGCTTCTACGACTCCCTCCACCAGAACTTGCAGTATATGATGGACAACGCAGCTGCAGGAGATATTGGGGGCAAAACAGCTGAAGAAATGATTGCAATCTACGAGACGATGAGTGCCAACTCGTCTCAGAAGAGTATCAGAGGGAAGCGGTCCACAGTGAATGAGGTTGGTGTTGACGGACGTTTCCGGTCAATGGTTAAAAAGATAAGTAATCGAAAGGTAACGGGAAAAAGACAAGGAAAAGCGGTTTAATTATGATTTTATTAAAAGATCACGAGGTCGGCCTCTCGTACGAGGTCGGCACTTGTGATATGCTTACAAATTCTTACACAAGTTTCTTACGAGTCTAGAGAGAGAAAATATAGGGAGCTTAAGTAGTTGGGATTCAACAACCCAAAAATAAATGTGGGGGTTGCTATTTATAGTGCCCTTTAATGCGGCACTGTTCAGGTACTGTTCACCGGTCTTGTCGTACAGTAGTTTGGCGGGACAGGCCGACGCTTTTCTGACTGATTGGGGAGTGATTTCGGGGTCTTCCAATCATCACCTGACATGCATTTAATGTTGAAGTGGGCTGCATTTAATGTAGACATGCTCTCCGGCCGGTTAGACGTCATAGGCCTGCCGATCAGTCAGGGATGTCCCATCGACGATTATTACTCGTCAAGTGGCCTTATTTAACCACTTCCCGGATCCCTGACCTCTTCAGGGGCCTTTCTGGTGCGGTTCCGAGCTGGACCACGGTAGCATGCCCTCTGATATTCATGGCCTTTTGTCGACCCCGGCACTAAGCCGGGTCGACTTCGTGACGGGAATGTAGGGGAGCCGACCCCCCAATTGGGGAAGCGAGGTGCCGACCTCGCGAGGCGCTGAACAAGGTGCCGACGCCGGGTTTAACCACTGCCGTCATTCTCGCTAATTCCGATGTCCACTCAGCTCGGCACCTATAAGCGGTCTCGGTATTTGACTCCTTCGGGTCGGCCAGTTATCACCAGACTCCCGGTCTCTCGGGCCGCTTTTTCATAGGAGCCGGACTCGGATATCAACAGTTGGCTCGAGTAATAATGCTATGGCCCAGCAGTTAGCCTAGCTCACGGAGCAAATGCGACTACTAAATGCTCGAAGTTCCTCACCGATTCAGGCAATGGCAGTAAACGCTTATAGAGCATGCGGTGTTCAGGGACACAGTTCTGAAGTGTGTCTTATGGCTCTTGAGTCAAACTACGGAGGGCAGAATGCTGAGGTTAACGCTTTGCAGGGGTATCAGAACCGGCCCGGAAACGACCCCTACTCGAACACGTACAATCCCTGGTGGAGAAACCACCCAAGCTTCTCATGGTCTAACAACAATTCCCAACAGCCGCCTCAACCTAACTTTGTCTCCCATCAGCAGCAACACAAGGGACAAATGTTAAGGTTGCCAGCACCAGAATCCGGACCGAGCCCGACAAACTCAGATGAGAAGCTGGATATGATTCTCCAGTTTTTGGCCGACAACAAGCAACGAACTATGAACAATAAGGCTTCCATTAAGCGCCTCGAGACGCAAGTGGGACAGTTAGCCACACGGGTCGGGACCATCGAGACTGACTTGAACAAGGGAAAGCTACCAAGCCAGGCAGAGCATGCAAATGCAGTAACCGTGATTATGCCCGAAGAAGTGAAAGAAGAAAAAGAGGGCCCGAATGAGCGAGGGAGGACAGAAGAAGCTCCAGTGACACCACCACCCGAGCCTACTTTACACAGATCCCCGAATCCTTACCGATCGAAGATTCCTTTCCCGAGCCGACTTTTGGAGGAGAAGGACCGCACTATGATTTGGGACCTTCATGCGATGTTGGCCAAGGCCAATGTCGACTTATCTCCTCCCGATGTGTTGAAGAAAGTTCTGGCTTATGCACGATTCTTCAAGGAAGTGGCCACGAACAAGAAGAGGTTGAGAATGGTGAGGAGGTGATTATCTGTGAGGCGGCGAGTGTCTTCCAGCATGACTTGCCGAAGAAAGAAAAGGACCCCGGAGGCTTTGTGATCACTATGGCCTTCGGGAATGGGGAAGAGACATCGGGATTGCTTGATCTTGGAGCAGGCATCAACCTCATGCCACTTGCAGTTTACCACCGACTCGGGCTAGAAAACTTGAAGCCCACCGGCATGCGCCTACAGCTAGCTGATCGCTCATACCGTCGACCAGAAGGGATTGTGGAAGATGTGCTCTTACGAGTAGGAAAGTTGATAGTTCCCGTGGACTTCGTAGTGCTCGATCTGGGGAACGTGGAAGACAAAGGGAAACAACACGCCATCCTCCTCGGGCGACCTTTCATGGCGACAACTGGAACTGTTATTGATGTGAGGAAGGGGATGGCGACCATGGCAGTGTTAGGCGAGTCCATCTCCATCTCCATTCGAGAGACCCAGCCTGAGCCGCAGGCAAATGTTGTGGAAGACTGTGCTTACCTCAGGGCGATTGAACAGCTTACTGAGGGCGCGTGTATGCGAGAACACGCGAAAAGATCATTGCAGGACCATGTCCATGTCCAGAGGAAGTACCGTTCTGACCGAGCCACTACCCCTCCCCAGCTGAGTTCGAAGGAGCTGCCCCGATCCGAATGGGGCGAGAGATTTGAGTTGACAGAGGCCCACCGCTGTTCGAGGCCCGACTACCGCCACCCTCCACCCGCACCACCGGATTCACAGTGACTAGTCTAGTCACTGTACCATGTACGCTTGTATCTTTTCCCTTCTCTTTATTTTCGTTTTTGTTTTGGTTTTTTCTGTCTTTTGTGTTGGTTGATTATATGGGTAGACTTTCCTTGCATTGATGATCGACAATAGGGACATTGTTCGATTTTAAGTGTGGGAGAGTTTTTGCATGATTATGTGCCTTATGTGGTTGACCGGGTCTAGTTCTTTTAGGTTATTTTCATTTTCTGTTTTTATTCTAGTGTCTTTTCTTGAGTCTGCTGTGTGTTTTTTAGTATGGATTATGGTGAATTTTGAGATTTGTTGAGGATTATTGATGTGCTGAGGAGATGTGATGATGATCATGACCAGTATGCTTTGATGAACTTGATGTGTCGTTTTGTTGGACATTTATTTACCTTATGTGAGGTTTGAGCCTTGGTTGTTTCTTGAGAGATATTGGTCGGACTCGTGTTGATCAGAACTTGCTTTGAGTCTGTTTTGAAATGAACCGATTGAATTTGTGTGATGTGAAAATGATTGAGGCGTTCTTTGTATTTTCATTTCCCTTTTTCTTTTTGTTGAAATAATATTCACTAGTCACCCCCTTTGAGCCTGATTGAATTTTTGATAACCCCGTGATGACGATATTGTGGAGTTTAAAGTGTAGAATTGGAGGTGATTTGTGTTGGTTTTGTATATATTTGTGATTCATGGTTATATTATGAAAAAAATAAAAAAAAGAAAAAAAAAATAAAAAAAAAAAAGAAAAAAAGAAAGAAAAAAAGAGATGAATAATATTAATAATGTGGGTAGAGTGTTGGCTTTTGAGGATGTTGGAGGAAACGGTTGGTGTTGACAACTTGATGAGTTCATGATCACGGTTAGGTGATTGAATTGTGTTGATATTTCTATTGAGCCACTTAGCCTATATTTATCCCACCAAGTCCAAAGAGCCTACATTGCATCCCTATAAGTCCTCTTGATTCACTATTGTATGAATTTAATTGTTTTTGAGTATGAATAGACGATAGGCAAGCTTATGTTGAAGCATGATAATCGACCAATTTGAGTGAACCCATTTCATATTCATGCAAGAAACTGAGTGAGGCATATACATATTATATATCCGTGCTCGAGAGTTTGTCTTTTCAAAGCGTAGCATTCGAGTTGTAATTGGGGTGTGCTATATTGGTCATTGGAAGTCTCCTCGGCTGAGTTGATTAATTTGAAGCTTGTCTTATTTGAGACTGTTATCCATGATCATTTGCTTGTTTTCTTTTCTTTTCGTGTCTTTTCTTTTCTTTTTGTTCGGGACGAACAAAGGTTTTAGTGTGGGGGAGTTGTTTGTCCCATTTTTGTTGCGTTTTTCTTTATCATTTTTCATTTCTTTTTCCCCCGTTTTAGGTCCTTTCGTTAGTTTTTATTCCTTTTTATTGTTTATTGCGTGTCTTGTTTTATGTTGGTTATCCTTGTGTTTCTCGGTCGTTTTTCCGGTTTTTTTCGTCTTTGGTGTGCAGGATGGAAGGTTCGGGAGAATTTATTTTTCATGATATTTGGACCGGGTGAACACATTTGCATAGAGCTATTCGCTGGCAACACACAGGAAAAAACGGAATTAAATTCCGTGTCCAGACGAACCCGAACGGGTCCGAGAAATTAAGGCGAGCAAGCAGCTCGGGCCGCCGCGCCAGGCCCTCGCGCCGCTACACCCGCCACGGGTCTTCAGATTTGACACTTGAACCAAATTGAAATAAATCAAATTTGATGAAATTGCAATTAAATCCTTGCAATATATCTATTTTCATAAAAAAGAAACCCTACAACCCCCTCCCTAAATTCATTCCCGCACATCCCATTCCCGCACATCCGGCCACATCCGCAGACGGCGGCGGCGCCGTCTTATCCATGGACGCCGTGCACTCCCAAATGCCGTTGGCTTTCTGATGCTCGGAGAACGAGGTGGCAGCCGCGGCCGTGTGGGTGCAATCGGCTGGTGGAAGTGAACGGCGGCAGGCAGAGGGGCGTGTGAGGTGCTGCGGCGCGTCGGCATCGTCGGCGGCGGAAGGACTGGTGGGAGTGGACGGCGGCGGGCTGGGACTGTGTAGACGCGTAGCGGCGGTGGCGGAGGGACACGACGGCTGTTTGGTGCGAGCTCAGGGTCGCCGCCTCCGGCAGGAGGTGCGACGGTGGGGGAGGTGATGAGAGTTGGCGTCGAGATGGCCTTAGGAGGCTCTGTGTGCAGCGTAGTGGGAGGTTGACCGGTGGTGGTGGACGAGCAGTGGCGGACAAGCGACTGACCGGCTGTGGGGGTACGGGTGGTGACGGAGACTGACTGGTGGTCGTGGCGATGGGCTGGCGGTGTTGGGCCGCGAAAGTGTGTGTGTAGATTTTGTGTGTGTGTGTGTGTGTGTGTGTGTGCATGTGTGTGTGTGTATGAGAGAGAGAGAGAGAGAGTAGGGTGAGGTGGGTTGGAGTAGGGTGGTTGATGGGTGGGTGGGGTTGGTGTCAGGTGCATTAATTTGATTTAATGTGGTGGGTCACGTGGATTATTGTGAAAAGGGGCCCGCCTGTTTGGGTGTGTGGTGTGTGAAATTACCCCAATACTCTTAATGGTGTATAGTGTAATAGCCAACCCTGCAAGTTAGCTTCATTTTCTCCATTTCCTTCTTGACGAGGTTGTAGATCAAAATCTTATTCTTACGCAAATCGGCACAAAGTACCAACACCTCCAAGTACTTAACCCACCCAACTGGAATTATAGCCACATCTCTACTTGTAGATTCAGATTCAAATTGCCTCCTGTGTTCCTTCAATGAAAATTACCCCGTCATTCTCCATGCAAACGTGCGAGGATGCATCTCCCAAACTTCCCAACAAAGCTCCCCACACTCACGCAATAAAGATAAATACTTTCCAGTCGACAAGTAGTATGTATTCTTAACTTTCCCACTCGGGCCAATAGAGTAACCGGGCCTAGGGCTCTCCGTGAATTTCTCTGTCTCCAAATTCATAGTCAATAACCTGTCGTCAAGCAAGACCCAATGCATAAACCCATCAATAATCAAAACGGGTTTATGCATAATAAACCTACGCTCGGCCTGCATGACTCTCCACGACTCATCATCATCTTCTCCTTCTCCAATGGTTAACACGTGAAACTCGTCCATCATTACGCCTATTGTAATGCCCCGTTTAATTATTGAATATTTGAGAATAATTTATTATTTATTTTTATTATTTGCCTTAATTTATTGTTGTTATTGATTTAATGTTATATATTGCTAAATGTCTTATGTGATTTAATTGTCAAATTTTTTAATTGTCTGAATATTATTTAATTGCCCAAATTGTCTAAATGAATTTATTACAAATAAAAATGCGTATTTGTATTTTTACTAATATTATTATTATTTTCCAAAATTTTGAATTTCGTATTATCTATATATATTATATATTTGGTTTGTTTACTTATTTGTGCGATTTAATTTATCGAGCCCGAGAAACTGTGTTACGTCTACGTAGTCGGGCCCGAGAGCCGATACGTTTCATTGAATCGAAACCCGCGAGCCCGATAAACTGGCTCAAGTCCGAGCCCGACCCGCGAGTGTGTGCGTGTGTAAATATATATATATATAGGATGTGGTTCAAATGAGAACCAAGTTTTAGTGTGAGAACCGTGAGAACCGCTATTTTTATTTGGGCGTAGTGCTATGATTGATTGTGTTTGATGCTATTTTTAACTTGAATGAATTTTATTAAAAATAGTAACACAATTTCTGGTAGCACTTGTAAAAATGATAGCGTCATCTTATATGAAAAATAACATCATACACAACTAAAAATAGCATCAAAAATGGTTCTCACGGTTTTCACACCAAGATTATATATATATATATTGTGCTTTTTCTTTTCTCGATCAGAATTGAGTATCCCAAAGTCCCACAGCCCTTATTTTTTGTATCTGTTGCGTTCGACCCCTCCCATCGTCTTCATCCTCTCAATCTCATCTCTCCCCTCGCCGTCATCTCCTTCACCATCACCGCAGGCCACCAGCGCGCCATTACCAACGCAGCGTCATCGCCATCGCCTTCATCATCTGGTCGCGCCACCATCTCCGAGCACCCTCCTCCGCTGCCTGCAAGCATCTCCGCCGCGAGCCTCTGCCTCGCCACCGCGGACCAGCAGAGACCTCGACGGACGCCGACGACTCCCTTCACGCGAAATCCGCCGCGGACTGCCATCCTCCGCCGCCTTCTTAGTCGCAGCAAGACGCCGCGACCAGCCCGATTCTGGCGAGCCCTTCATCTTCACGAGCTTCCCTGTCCGCAGGACGCCTCACCGAGCGGACCTGCAACTCGTCACGCCGCGGCCAACCACCTCGTCACGCCGCGACCAGCGACCCAGACACGCCGTGACTCCTCTGCCGCGAACAGGAAACGGGTCGACCAACCACCACGAGGCTGCCTTCCTCGCCGGCGTAAATCACAACACCTGGACTCGCCGGCGACAACTGAGTCCTGGCGATCTGAAGTTTCAACCAACCGACGACTCACGAGCAGCAGCGACGAGCACTTTTGTGGGGCTCAGCCATCGTCCTCCGTTCATCTTTTGCACGAGCGGTTGTTGGTCCGTTAAATCATTGAGAGGGCAGCGTGTTTGTTCACGACTGGACCTCGAGCACTTCACGAGCAGCAACGTCGGCTTCCTTTGCAACGAGCAGAGGTTGGGTTCCTTTCTAGCCGAGGCCGTTTGATTTCCGTTTTCGAACCATCCTCGTTTAATCCCGAGAGCGGTACAAGGCTTGACCCGTCTCGTTTATTTTTGCATGATATTATGTGCTCGATTATGTGAATGTTGTAATTGAATGAGGATTGTGAAAATTGTGTTATATACTTGCGAATTGGATATCAAAGTGATTACCGTCACTTTGAAAAATTGTCGAACTGAATATATGTGGTTCGTTTCGTGGAAATCCTAGAGTTATAGGTACTTGGAGATGTTCTTGATCTGTTAGTTTTGGTTTGAAGTCGTTTCGAGTTGTATTTTGGGAGTTATGATTTTTCTAAACTGAGCATGCTGTTGTATTGTAATAAATTCACCATAAATCGAGATGTTATCGGTTTAAGCTAAATTTTTGATATGTTGTGCCTCTGAGTATGTGGAATATGTGTGCCAAGCCCCTGAATTTATTTTTGAGTTTTTTGAATTCAAAAGCTTAAAACGGTTTTTAAGCAGAAACTTGTAAAATTCACTAAATATCGTACACTTAAAGTTTTGAGTTGAAACTTTCAGGAACCTGTTATTTTGTGATGGTTTAGGTTGTCTAAAAATTTCAGATTAAAATTCGAAGTGTAGATATGTAAATTATTAAATGCTGATTTTGATGCTGTTTTTGCATAAATCATTTAAAAATGTTCCCGGATGAATTTAGGTCTCAAACTTGGTGAGTTTATGTGTTTTTGCATGTTTTATAATGTGGTAAAGTTCCAGGTTGATTGGCTGAGCCTAACTCCCGATTCTGAATTTAGTTCATTTTGGAGTCTAAATGTTCGGTTATCGGTTGGTTAGGTTCGGATAGGATTTGCTTAATGTTGGCATGGTTTATGTGAAATGTTTGAGGTATATGAGTTGTGTCCAGGTCTAGTAGTCACTCCATAGTACTTAACTCGGTCAAGGAATCCACGAGTCGCTTAGTCGATATGATTTCGACTAAGTATATGTGCTTTGTGTGGTATTTTATATTGGATAGTCAGTGATAGGCTATTATAAATGATTGTAGGTTCTTCGAGCTGAACTTGTGCCATAATTCCTTCAACTCTGTGTTTGGCTATACCTCTTGCTATATCCAGGTGGTTTTATTTAAAAATCGTCTATGCCTTAAATTATTTACATTTGTTGCTTGGCGTGATTAATGCATGCGTGTGAACCATGTAACCCTCGTTGTGAGTTGTATGTCCTTCGAGCGGTTGTCCCCGTCGTTGTGAGCTGTATGTCCTTCGACGGTGCCTTTTGATAGGCAGTCTCCCTAGTCTAATGATAGGCAAGGCCGATGTGAGCTGTATGTCCTTTGGTATTTTACTCCATTGTTGTGAGTTGTATGTCCTTCAATGGCTAATGATAGGTGTGCACATTGAGTAAAAATGTTATGATTAGGAGATGTGATAATTGAATGTTTCGTGTTCATGCTGCAACCATGCCTAACTAATATTCTAAATGATTTATTGCATAGTGGTGAACACTACTTTTTCCTACTGTGCTCATCCCCACCTGAAATTCACATTTCAGGTTAAGCAAGGCGGGCACGACGGCAGGATGGCGAGTGGATGGTCATATTTGCATTATTTGCTTCTGCATTATTTTGAATAAGTTAACCCGAATTGATGAACTTGAGTTGTTTTGGGGTTATGAACATGATATTTTATTTCAGACCATGTCGTTTCAATTATGATGGAATTGAACGTATGATTTGGTTCATATTATTGAACTATGATTGGATATTCATGTCGAATGTGTTATTTGGATATCATGTGAACTGTTGGTTTTAGGACAATGAAGTCCATGTGAAAAATCGGGTAATGAATTCCCGTGAGGTTTCAAATATGAATTGAAATCAAGATAATGCCCTAATGATATGAATTTCGAAAATGTTAACTTGATTTTTGAATAAACCATGGATTATTTCTTAAATCAAAGTGGGGCGTTACAGTTTGGTATCAGAGCCAGTCTGCGTTTCTGTAGACTGGTATGTATGAATTATGTGAACTCTGAGGAATAATTGAATACTATGATATAGTTATGACCACACGCTTCCGTCGTGCCGCGCCAACTCAGGTATGAATACTTGAGTAAATTTTGAATTGCTTATGTGAAATATTGGGATATTAAACGTTCTGGAACTCTAGATGAGTGGCGAACCATAGTTGTATGAATTTAAGCTCTAGCAATATAGAGTTAAGTTCTAACTTGAGGTTTTGTTTGTTTAGAAATTCGATATAATGTTATCGAGCTGAGTCATGTGTATAACAGTCCCCTCGATGTATTTTGGTGTCTTCAGAAGAGGACCATTCGCGAGCTATCTGGAAAGAAGAAGGCTTAAACGAAGGGAGCAGACAATCGAAGAAATCTCAAGTGTGAGATATTCGGAGGTCTGTAACCATGATTATTAAGATCATCAGATGTGAATATGCCTATGTTAATTTCGTATTTATGAGTTTGAAAACGGTTTAAATATATATGTTGTATATATGTAGACGATCTCTTCGATTTTGAGAAATCGAACGAGACCTCGTCAAATCGTGATAGAGTCGCTGTGGGTTGGAACTCGTATTGTCCTTAGTCTTATAGTGAAGACTTCAGACAGATTCGTAGTAAAATGAGCCGGTTATAAATTAATGAAATTGTCTAGTCGCTGTTTTAGTATATAAATTATGATAAATTGTACGATGCTCTTATTGCTGTAAAATTTTGTGTGCTCATCCCTCTATTGGAGATACATGTCGTGTAAAAATGTCGGAATAAAATGATAAGTATAGCTATTTTTAATAATTGTATGAAATTCTGTGCAGAATCTTGTTAAATGCCTATTAAATTGAATTGTGCTCCAAAACTTATGAAATTTCAGTATGTTGTTTTTTTGTGTGTGGGGTAGGTCGTGTACAAGTTTTGGAATTTTTGGACTTCGTTTGCTATATGTAAAAAAATTATTTGTTGAATTCTGCAGATTCGTAATTTATTAAATTGATATGTTGCTGGAAAATTTTGAAACTTGGTTGAAGTGATGTTTTATGTGTATTCTCATGCTGTTAAAAGATGGGAAGTTTTAGAGTTCATTTAGGTTCTGTTATGTTGTAAATTCAAAAATTTGCTGAATGTTGTTTTAATTTTATAAATTCACAGCTTTTTACCTATTCTCTTGCTGGGTAGACTTCACGTTTTAGTTACTCATTGCATTTGTTTAACTGTTTTGTCCGACAGCTAATTTCCTCTTATTGTGTTTCAGTTAAGGCGCTCAAACGCTTCGAGCTGAAGAAACAACCGGCCGAGAAGCCGTGGGTGGCTCTGCTCCACCCCCTTCCCGTCCCGCTGGTGCGGCAGTCGAGTCGACTGCTGCGAAGAAATCCAGGGTCGAGAACCCTGGTGCCGCCCAGAATAAACTGTCGGGCTCTAGCTCCCGCAAGAGGGCCCAAGATGACCGGGCTGTCGTCCTGATCCCTGACGACCTGAAGCGCCGCAAGGTCGAGAAAGGGAAAGGGAAAGCGGTCGAGAAGCCCGCCAAAGCCCCAATCACCGTCCAGGATGTGACGGTCAAAATGTCGTCTCGACTCTGGAACCACCCCGAGCCTTATCAGGTGGCCCAGTACCTTAACTCTACTATCCCCGACGTCAACAAGGAGCGCGTCGAGGGGAATCTTTATGAGCGCTCAAACTATGCGGTCCTGTGCCTTTCTCGGGTAATCTTCTTATCCTTAAACCCTCTTATCGTCATGCTTCTCTTGAATTTGGTTCATCTAATCTCATTTGTTTTTCGTGTTCTTTCGCAGTTCCTGGCCGCAGCGCTCCCTTGCTTCGAGGAGACGAGCAAGGCTCAGCTCGCCTCTACCAAGTCCCTCGAGGACAAGTGTGAGGCTCAACGCCAAGAAATCGAGGCGCTAAAGGAGGACTTGGAGGCCTCGAAGGCCCTTGTCGACAAGCTGAAGGCCGACAAGGCTGTGTTCAGGCATTTGAATGACAAGCTCAAGGCTGACCTCGACAAGGCCCGCGACGAGGCCGTGGTCGAGAGGGAGAACGGCGTCGAGGAGGGGCGCAGGACGTTCTTGAAGTCCCCGATGGGCGCCGTCTTCCTTGAGACCTATCGCCAGGAGGTCGTCAAGGCCTTTTGCAACTCTCCCGCCTTTCTTGACAAGCTCTGCCCCGCCACCCTCCAATTCGAGCATACTTTTTCCGCATGGTAGGCGGTGGTGTCGGGGTCCGAATTCGAGGGGAAGCTCGACCGCGAGGCGGTTAAGGAGACGCTTCCCTACCCCGAGGGCTACGAGGGCGACGACTCTCTCCCCGACGATTACCCATGGTGGTCGGGACTCGAGGCTTGGGCCATCCGCAAGGCTGGCTTGGGCACGCAACTCGAGGTTCCCCCCACCCCTTGTCCGGTCCGACCGAACTAGTCGGGCAAGTGGGGCTAGTCGGGAGGAAGAAGTCGAGGCGGGGAATGTCGAGCAACAAGGTACTGAGCCGCTTGTCGACAAGGATGTGGAGGCAGAGAGGACTGCCACGATTGTGGAAGATGGAGATGACGCTGCAGAGAAGTCGGATGCCGAATCTTAGCAGTGTTTGTCCGGGGCTGTGCCGTTTCTTGTTTGCTTCTTTTTTCTTTCTTTTTTCCTTTTGTCGTTCTCGACCTACTTTTCAGTATTGTAAAGGTCGAGACGACTGTTAGTGTAATGAATTTTCGAATTAATATAATCTTCTCTTTTCCTTTCATTGCTTGTGTTTGCTATATTTCAAATTATTTTCGCTGTAATTTCCCATATACCTTCTCCCCAACCCTTCTTGCGAGCTGGTCGAAGTCGAGCAACGATTTGAACAGCTTCTTAACTGTGAAACACTAAGTTTTTCAACTCGTCTTCTCTCCAACCCTT